TAATTTTACAAAAAAACTGCAAGGAACAAAAATTGTTTATTTTTTTTTCATAGAGCTGTAAGAATTTTTTTAGAATTTTTTCAGAATTTTTTAATATCGTATTTTCTCATGTTGGTAAACATGACTACTAAAAAGTTGGTTAAAAAAATCTTAAAAAATTCGTATAGTTCTATGAGAAGATAATAAACAATTTTCGTCTCTTGCTTTCTGAAAAGTTGATAGTATTTGAGTAAAAAATTGAAGACCAACTTTCGGCAATTTTTAACAATTAATATCTTGTTAATTATTGGGAAAATTGCAAAATAGTACAGGACTTTTCTTCTCAGTTTAATCCATTGTATTCCTATGCGCAAGATTTATTATTATTTTCAAAACACCCTGTATATTTTGAGTTATGCAAATTTAAACAATAGCATGGCATTTTGCTAATGTGGTTCTTTATGGATATTGGTCCTTTATGGATATTATTCATGGTTTTCATATCAAAATAATTATTTGATAATTGACTGCAGTTCTACTGTTAATCTATAGTTTATATTACACGTACTATTTTTAGTATTAAGATTTTTAGTGCTGAACAGCTTATATGCAGAAATTATGTGAATGTACATTTACATTTATTTGTTAAAATGTTTTATTTTTTCGTTATAATTTTGTAATCAAATATCATTTTCTAACTAAAACTAACTTTTTAAGGCTATTTGTATGGAAGGCCATATTATCATCCATGTTTTTCTTCGAGTCGTTATGCAATTTCGTTACATTTTTATTAATAGTCCTAAGTAGTAAATATCAGTACAAATTTAGCTTTTTAAAAAAGGTAAAAAAAGACGCTAAGAATGCATGCAAGAAAACATGCTTCTTGAATAAAACCTAAGTATCTAACCTAATTAATAATGGTTTCAATTTTTCTTTAAGGATATTTTTATTGAAGGTCTTCTTATTTCAATCCAAGTAATGGCAACTTTAATTTTCTGTCAAAAATTATTTCTATTCGAAAAAGTTAATGAATCAAATAGAAAATGAAAACCCAGATGCTAATGAATCTTAACTAATTAAGTTAAAGTCTATCAAATTAAAAACACAAAATAGTACTATCTCTTCTTATTTATATAATCTTATCTTCTTAAAAAAAGGTAAAAAAAGCGCTAAGAGTGCGTGCTTTTCGTAAAGAATTATTTGGGTCTGTTTTACCAACGCCAATTACTCAATTGACCGTGGAACTGACTAATCGTATTTGCTGTTTAGTAGAATTCACCACTTATGGTTGACAGTTAATCATTGATTTGACTTAATTGAGTTGATGAAACCGGTCTCTTCTTTGTATGTAATATAAAAGTAAACAAATAGTACTTTCTCTCTCTCTCTCTCTCTCTCTCTCTTTCTCTTTCTGTCTGTCTCTTGTTATTTATTTAAATCTAATAATAAATATCATTCATCAGTATAAAAAATTTGATATCAACAAAACTGGCACTAAGTTAAATTCCTCATAATTTGATGTATTATTCGTAAAAAAGATTTGATATTAATTGAATTGACGCCAAATTAAATTCCATGTAATTCGGATACCAAATTAAATAAATAATATTAACTTTAATGATATGTAAAATTAATAATAAGTTAGAATAAAAATGCTCATATATTTTCAAAAACAAATTAACAAAGTGGTTTATTTCGAACTTATAATTAAACTGACTTTGAATTAATAACAATTAACATAACAATGTGTAAATACTATAATCTAAATACAATTAATAAAATAATATAAAAAATATAAAATTACAAATGTTTCGGCTTACAAAGACTTCTTTAGTGTATAAAGCAAAAATACATTATTAAATTAACGAACTAATTAAATAGCGCATATAATGAAATATTTAAAAACTATTCGTGGTGATGTGTCAATTCATATAACATTCGAATGTCAAAATGTGTTAAGACAAATTACATAAAATAAGAAGAATGAAATACTTCGGTCAAAAGTAAATTAACATGATGTCCTCTGACAAATTTTGTCAAATTCCTTCGTTGAAAACGAGAATTCAGTTTATTGCAGACTTAAATCATTC